CAGGCCAGCTTTCCGGAACGGTGAGGGATGGGCGCGCACAAATGGGCGGGCATGAATGAGGGTCCTCTTGCATTTTGGCTGTTCCGAAGCAATTTTTTCGCTTCCGAAGCGGCATTTTGCGCCGCGACTTGGGCATTGGATTGATAGGGGGCTCTACTGTTATATGCTGCCAAGCTCAACACTCTCAACTTAGGGTGGACGGTGCCTTTGAGCACATTTTAACTTCCGATTCTTTTCTAAGATATTCCGTTTGTCTTTCTTGAAGACAACGACAGTTTTGGAAGTTCGCCTTTGGTCAAAGATCCTTTCCTTGTGAAGGCAAGACGTTGGATGCAACCAAATTCTCTTATGGGCAGCGTCCTCCAGCTAGCAGAAGTTGACAGAGAAATAGGCTGTTCCTGAAGTTATGCACATCTCCATGTTCCGAATAGCCGAACGCACTCCAGTACAAATATTCCGTGGTGGTAGCTCTTAAGTGGGAGTGAAAGAAATTGTTGTATCGGTATGAAATCGGGATCCCTTTTTCTCACCAGTGCTGCCAGCGGTGCGCGATATTCTCAAGGTCTCTTTTGCGCTTCTTATAACTTCGTTTTCTTTAGACTGCTTCCAGTATCTTAGCTTGCCTGTACTTCCGATTCAAAGTTTCTCTGCAGTGACGCTCGCCATTAATCGCTTGAGATGAATGACTGCATTCGTAAACCTCATCTTTCGAACAATTCAGTGACGAAATCCTTCCTGAGCCGTTGAGGCGCATTTTGCGACGAGGATCCTTGCAAAAGCTAGTGTGGTCGTACGTTGGGTGCTTCTCGAGTTACAACTTGGTACGAGCTCCTTCAGCCTTTTACTGCAATAGAATATCTCTTTTCTCATACAACACTCAGATCGTTTCTGAGCTTTTGACTAAGTCGTACTTTCGCTTTGAATAGGCTGTGATCGGAGCCATTGCAGAAGGACGGGACCGCTGAGAAAGAGTAAGCTATCTTCAAATGATAAGGCTATGGTTGACTTCCCGTAAGTCGTTGTGTTGGGCGAATCCCATGTCCAACGGCACTGTTCTTTCTCCATAAAGATGAGTATCCATGCGGCGAAGAAAAGTCCAACGAGACGGTTGCCGTTTTCCCGAACCAATGTCCGAATTCTCCGATCCTAACTCCTTCTCAAGGGGCATCCCGATCTTCGCGTGGACCCATAATAGATTTGTAGAAGGACTTTTCGTTACGGACCTGACCCTCTCCACGTCTTCGTAAAAACATATAATTTTGATTATTTAGCTATTGATGTGGGGAATAGCAGCTGATAATGCTGATAGTCTTCCGACGTAGAGGTCGCAGAAGTAGGGTAGCCAGTGGAGGCGATGAGATTTCATAGAAAGAAGACAAGATGACCATTTCACCAAGAATAGGGGGTTATAACAATCAAGTGTCGTACTTTCTTTGTGGTCGTCTTGACCACGACAACAGATACCTCTGGCGGGAAATGATGCGCAACGTTTTCTTTCAGTATTATTGAACGGGTAATAAAGAACCACTGACGATTCCCGGCGGCCTTTAGCCTTTCCGTAAAAGTCATTTATCTTCTTTGGAAGCGAACTGAAAAATCACAAAGTTGTACTGTTTAGTCTAACATTGTTAGACGTGTTGATGATAAGACCACATGAACTATCAGAACTAAGATTTTAGATTTTTTGACTTGTGTTTATTGCGGTTTTCAAAACTTCCGTACACCATTTGCAAGCTATGTCCCAGTGCATCTACCATCTAGTCCCAGTGCTAAGCGCGCAGATACATGCTTAGTACTGAGGCTAGATAATTATTACAACTTCGAAATGCTTTCGCTGACTTCGAAGAAGAAAAATGACTTGAAAGGTAAAACGGTCTGCTGCCGGGATCATCAAGGAATTATACAAAAAACTGAAAATGTGGCTTGTACAGCTTCTCATTCCTGTTTGAAATTTTAATACTGAAGGAGGTAGAGACACTTGTGGAGACAGCGAGAACAGATGTCCAAGGCTTTAGTATATGAAGCTTTCTTTTATGTTGCATTCCCTTCCCAGCGGGGATATTAATGCGCGCCGCTCTTACACACAAGGAATCTGACCCGCCTGCCCTTGGCTAGATATCCGGATCTGCCCAACTCCCTTATCCTAAAAGCCCCTAATTACTTCGACACTCAATGTCACCCCTCGCCATGTTGAGGCGGCAGGCTAAGGCGTTAGGCCTAAGGCATACCTCACGCGATTCGACAGAATCGCCACCTTTACGCAACTTGGCGATTTGCCAGATTTCTATAAATATATCATGCGCACTTCTCGGACGCATATTTGGGTAGCTTGTGTAAGTTGTTGCAAACAGAGCAAGTTCTGACCAAAGGCAGCGCATTAACGAGGAATTATGAAGAATCGCTGTTGTGCCAAATCGCGCAGCGACCGGAATCGCGCGAGGTATGCCTTAGGCCTTAGGCCGTGGCCGGACATTTCAAAACTAAACGCGAATAAGCGGAAAAAGTGAATTACTTAATTCATGATCAAGCTTTGCAGTTTTGCCAAACACTGAGGCGAGCTAAGTTTAGAACTTATGTCAATAGTAGGCATCTTTTGAGATGTTGATTTTTCATAGATATGCCCTTTAATTCAATGAGATTGGCGGTTGGAAGGCGGGGCTTTGAAGCTTAATCAAGGCTGGAGAATGTTCGGACAGCATGCTCGCGAGAGAGGGGCAGACCCGCTAATCCCTTTGAATCAAAAGGCTGTTCATCCTCCAGAGTTCTTTTTACTTTATGAGGTGTTTGGGCTTTGCCTTGTAAAATATTTGGGTTTCTTTATATTTAAAAGTTTGATGGGAGTTTGTGTTTTTAGCTTTGAAGCAATATACGCCGACTCTAGTCACTTAGCGATATTGCTCAAAAGAATTATTAGAATCTGATAATCGCTATACATCTTATAAGGAAATGATACTTGGTGATCTCGGCCATTTGGAATGCGATGTATATCATAAGGTGCACCTCGAAACGCTGATTCTAAATCTTTGCTCGATATCTGCGAAGCGATCATAAGAAGGCAATTATGAACTTTTTTCGTAGAAAATTTGCGTACTTTTATGTAGTTAAAACCACCCAACTTGATCTACCATAATTTCACGCGTACAAGGCGCGGGGTGGTCCTAGCTTTCATCGAGCTGCTCAGCCGCCTCAACGTGTTTTAAGAAGCGATCCTTATGCCGCACGATTCGTCAGGCAAAACGCAGCACGGTATGGGGTTCCTTTGGTTGCGAAGTCCTTTGCCGTGTTCGGGCTAGTTGATGAAAGCTAGGACGACCCCGCGCCTTGTACGCGTGAAATTAGGGTATTTTACCGTTTGAAGCTGTTGAGGAGTATCTTGAAAGGTGTAACGTTGTATTTATACCTGTCTAAATCATCTTTAGCATTTGAAGATGGAAGCAAAATTTTCATTAATGATTTTCACCCTCTGCAGTAGCGCAATTCATTTTTGAAGAAATAAATAAACTCCATCCAGGTCCTCGCTCTGCGGATATGGAAAAAAAAACCATTATGAATGACCGAGATCACCAAGTATCGTTCCCTGTTTAGTGAAGCAAGGTTTGCTAGAAAATATGCATGTTCAAGGAGAGAGTTCATGAGACGACTCGGTGTATATAGACACATGAGCAGGCAAGAGATTTGCACGCATTTTTTGGGGCAGAGCTTTGAGCGGACCTAGACGCTTTCAACTTTCGCATTCGAACACGGTGTGCATTGAGTTGATGTTCGGATTAAAATTCATAGAGGTGCTTTGCCTTATCGAATGGTGCTCCAAACAACCTTGTTGTTCTCGAGTACTGCGCAATATGGGATGTAATTACGTTTGTGACAATTTATGAGAACGTTCATAAAGTACTCAAGAACTTACGCTACAACCTAGTTGACGAGAGACGAAACGAGATGCCAAACAACTACAACTCTAGAGTACTGTGTTCTATAACGCTCGCGCTTTGTTAATGAGAAACCCATAAACTTTCTCTCTCTGCGCTCTCGTTCATTTGTCTTTTCTGGATGAGGTTAAATAGCTTTTACGTCATCAGACAAAAGACCTGACGAACGTCATATACGCCAAAGTAGCAGTGTTCACGCTGTTCACATGATGCTTTCGCTTAGTAATTCGAAAAGCAAACCTTCAAATTATTTACTTAAGTACGGAATAGCACTGCAACTAGCGAAGTTAGTACGAGCAAAAACAGTTAAATTAAAGTTTCTCTACAAAGCTGCATGCAAAAAGAGCTCTCTCTATTTGTTCATATACGTATATTTGTTACAGTCTAGGTATATGAAGAGAAAGAAAACCGTCATTTGTTTCTAAACATAATCAGGCAACATCCATTGAACGAATATACTGATTTGTTCATCAATGGCATTAACTGCCGTCAGCTTCGATCTTCATCTGCTAGGCTGCGAAAGACTTATTTCATTGAATTAATTTAATGTCACTCACAATGTACCAGCTAGTCGCACATGAGCTAGGATTCGTGATAAACATTGAACGCTGTATTCTCATTTTTTTCCTAACAAACTCTACTCGACGTAAAATTCCTTACTCTTTAGATTTCATGCATTTTTCTACGCCATTGAATGTTTTATGGAAGTGCTGAGAGGCATTCCTCAAGATACTCTCACTACGTTATATGTCATCTTCCACTACATCGAACTGGGCGTACACGCGTTTGGCTTCGTTATAGCAGCTATTTTTATGTCAAAATTCATCCATTTACAATCAGTGCACATCAACCTTAGGCTGATATTAGGAAGTTTTATTCTGTCTGCTTGTATCACCTCAGTTTGGCGAGTATGTTGTTGTTTTCTGCGACTTGGTATCATAGTTATTGATCATAGCGAAGAAGCTGCTAATTTTACCTCAGATATATATAAAGCTTCTATCTATGCCAGTAAGAAGCTTTATTCTAAAACAGAAATAACAATAAAAAACACGAAATTGTTTAGCCAGTCTCCACATGATACTACTTGCTGGTGAGCGACAACTCGCAACTGTTCGCTCTAAAACCTATGAAAGCGAACGCAATATCACACATGTGATAATTTCAATTGCTAGTTCTGTAAGTTTTAGAGGCCTTTTCTATTAGTTCTGGCAATTCGATTCATTGTTTTCCTGGAGTTTGGCCAAAGTTTAGCGTAAATTTTCGAATAGAAAAATCTTTTGGCAATGCTCAATAGAGATTAATGTTCGCGTTATTTATTCGATAGTAGTAACTTCAGTGGGCTTTTTCTGTTGGCGTGGTTTACTCTCTCAAAGCATGTGTTGCCCGTGATTTTATAGTAGCGTTGCTATATTCAGCTGTGTTCGTATCCGCTATTGTGGTAAGTTTATTTCAATCTCTGAGGGTTTGTTTCAGATTTGTATATAATTAAGTGGATGATGCGTGTAAGGAAAATGAATGTTGCAAAATGGAAAGGCCATCGTGGTACTTTACAATTTTCTCAGAGTTACCAGGTAACGGCTCACTTTTTCCAAAAGGGCAACGACATTGCATAACAAACTTGGTTGAGGTCCGCGAAAATGTCACTTCGGCAACATTTCTTTACAAGTGCTTTTTGATATACTCGGTTCAAGAAGTTCTCAGCTGGTTGTGTGCGTTGATACACCTTACATCTAGGTATGGTGAAAGTATCCATTAAGTTTTTGATTTTACCTAGTTTACGGTGATATTGGTAAGCCAATCACACATGCATTCTTTCAAAAGTGGCATCCTGTTGTTGTTGTTGACATAACGCTTTCACACACAAGAAAAAAAAAACAGGAATGGGGAACTTATGAAACGAAGTCTCATACAGTAAGATATTGATGAAATTTTCTTTTTGAGTGGGATTTTCAACATCACCTCTTCTCGGTAAACTCTGTCCTGCTTTTGTAGAGTGGCTTATTTATACAATGAAAGCCATTGTTATTGTGTTATACGATGTGTGATAACTTTAATAACCTAGCATTGAAATTCTTTTCATCCTTTGTTTCAGGGATGTTATAAAGGTGCCTATAATTGAGGAAACTTTTGGTTTTATGTTCGACATCATAGTAGCCTTAGCATCTACCACATTGCCATTATCTATCATAAGATATAATGAGAAATCAAGAAAGCAATTCCGATGGCTTTTGCGTAAAAGTAAAAACGAGCTCAGTATGTCCGCTTATATTTCTTAAACTATCGCTTCAGTTGGTGCCTACAAGAATGAAGAAAACGCTGAGTCATTTGTTGATTTTGAAGGAAAACAAACAAGAATAAAGGTAACTTATACGTTACCTGCTTATTGTCTCTGTGAGAGAGGTTCAAGACTCTTTAGGCAGCAGATGAAACCTCAATCTATTTCAATCAGTTCAAGGAAGCTTGGTCATAAATAGATACGGTCAACGTCTGTTAAAGAGATGCCTTGCATATTACGCTATGTGGCATCGAACACATCTCCAAAATGAGCGGGACAGTATCTGATGAAGCAAGGCGAGCTCTAACATGTGAACATTAGATACTTGCAAACATTTATCTTTATACATTTATCTTTATAAAGTTTGTTTCATGTTTGAAAGAGTGCTTAGCCTTAAAAATCGGACTTCCATCCAGTATTCGAGCCTCTAACTTTTTTTAATCATATAGTTGATAATGAGTGACATTCACGAGCACACTTTTTATCTTTGCGGTTTTTGATTGAGAAACAAAAGCGGACCGGATACAAGGAACGTCGCTTTTTTAGGCACTTTAGCCAAAATTCAGCATTTTTTGAGACTATTAGGATTTAGAAGGACAGAAGTTAAGATTGTAAACTCAAAAGTTTTCAGTCTGGGACTATGTGTTTGAGAACAAACAGGGTCGCATATGCAAGCATTTTAGTTTTTTTTTCTCTATTTTTCAGCAATGAGAATTAAAGCGGGTGTTGAATAAATGTTAGCCTGTGTTTAGTCAATGATGTTGAACGGAGAGCCACTTTTTGGGGTTTTTCTAATTTCAGCTTCAAAATTCCCATAAGCAAATCTTTGCAAATTTACGCCTATCACTTAGATCTTGTTTTCTTCAAAAACAACCATTTCGCATTCTTTTGTCCAAATTGTCTGACATGTGATACAACTTTTGCGCCAACATAGGCTGTATCGGCCAACCGCGCTAGTTCCTTGCATGCACTGTCGCATGCAACGTGCCTTAGCGCTGACACAGCCCGCATGCGTCACATCGCAGGGTCGCATGTTGCCGCAGGCGCGACGTCGCATAACTGATGCTGGGAGGTACAGCCCATAGCAATCTCTTCATTTCTTCTTGCTAAATCTCTACGCCATTGCATATTTATTCGGAATTCAAATGAAACAGGTACACACTTAAGAATGATGACATGGCAACTTTCTATTTTTTCTGATAACAAATCCGACTTCCGTTGTTTGTGAGGTAGCCGTCAAATAAACATGGGCGCAAACAAGAGTAGACCTGGAACAGCTATGTTATCATTATCAGACTCATTGTTTTGCGCAAATAATCTTGCATAATTGTACTCAGTTTACTTATGCGCTGATTGTATAAATAATAAACTAAAATAAAATAAAAGGAATCAAAAGGCTGATCAACATGTAATCTACTAAGCAATTTCAATAAGAAAAATTAGTGTAACACAATGCGCCCACAATGCTGCTGTTTTGAGCAAAATTCTTTCACGTTTCTGAGAATTCCTCAGAATTCTCAGAAACGTGTTAGTGTCGATCAACTTTCTGGCTTAGTTTCACTGAACGGCCACGGTTGTAATTCCGGCCATGAATCGATCTAAGCCTCTTTAAAAAACTCTTGGGCCTGAACATACCGGAGGTGGGCGACATTACTAACGAAATTCTGTTACGCTTAGGTGAACTTGGTGATGGGGCAGTTGGAAGAGATGCTAGACAGAGGAGCATTGTCAGTGCTGGCCGAACTTGTTAAAAGAGACGGACAGACCAATCCTCTGGCATCTGAACGCCAAAATGATACCGAACAGAAGATACGTGGAATTCTTGACACGTTAGATATCGAGTGTAAGCCTGTAAAGGTTTTCCGAATGAGCGCTAGAATGACTAACAGGCCACCTCTTGTGAAGGTTGAATTACCCACAAGAAGTCATTGGATCCCGCCCTTTCTCGAGCCGATTGCTCCGAGACTCTCCAACTTTCAAGAGAGTCTACATTAGAAAAGCATGACGGCTCGAGGAAGAGAACATGAGCGTGGTCTTCGAGAGCAGGCTAGGAAAATGAATCAAACAAGGAGTTTTGAGGACCGATTCGTGGTTTATAAAGGAGAGCTTGTGCCAGTGAACTCGCTTTCGCATGGCAGAGCGTATCCTTTACAAACTTCACCTATTCTCTTCGCCAACCTCATACAACATGCCAGGAAAACTGAGTTCCCGGCGAGGTGACTCTCAAGTGTTATCTAATGAATGGAACAACACTACACAATAAGTTATCTCATTTGCACCATTTTCTTATCTCTAAAATCCCTGATAATCTTTTTGTGGCCGAAACATGTTTATATTTTGAGATAACAGATGCAGAAATTGTGTCTGATCTACCATATACGATATTCCGATGTGATAGAAAACATAAAAAAGGGGAGGTGTTTTTTTGTTAATTCGATGCTTTTGTGTGAAACAGTCAAAACAAACCTCCAGTACAAATGCGAAATCACGATAATCTCTATCACCCCCGTTCACTTGCAAAATTACGCATGATATGTGTTTATCGTCCTCCAAACTCCGATCCTGACTCTGATGCTGTTCTCCTGGATCTGCTCTCTGTCAATGCTCTGGCTGCTACTGAAATTTTGATTGTTGGTGGTTTCAACCTTCCGGTAAGATACCCTTCGAACATGAATTGTGATAATCAACCATCAACCAACAAATTTTTCGAATTATTTGAAAATCTCAATTTACACCAGTTTGTCGATAAACCAACACATGATGAAGCTATTCTCGATTTAGTCTTAGCACAAAACTTCTTTATCGACATGCTGTCGATTTCTGCCGCTTTTGGAACTTTTGATCAAAAAATGATTGAGTTTTGTTACAGATTCAACATTCCGAAAAAAACACATTTATCCCATATCCTCGCTTCCCTGAGATTGACTTTGAAGCAATGAAAGTTGATTTAAATAACATCGGTTGGGAAAATTGCTTTAATCAGTATGTAGATCCTTCCGATGTGTATTACAGATTCTGTAGCATTTTGTACAAACTTATGGCAGCACACACTCCATTTGAAACTCGTAAAATTGGATATCTCGAATACTCTGTCCATGTACAGTCACTCAATCTCCAGATGGAATAACTTTTCAGGACTTCTCGATATGATAGTTCATTTACAAGAAAGTTTGCTCTCATATAACAAACCATCTTAAGAAGTTCCTCTCAAATTACAAGAAACGTTTTAGCTTCCTCTGAGTACTCCAAGAATCTCTTCTCTTACATCCACAATAAAATGTTTGCCAATAGAATGGAGCTTTGAAAGATTCGTCGGGTGCAACCTACCTAACGGATCAAGGCAACGCGCAAGCATTATCTAAGTTTTTTGCAAGTACATTTTCTAAAAACATCTCTACTCCCAAATCTATTGGACCTCCACTATGCCATACAAGTACGTCTCCTACTCTCATGCCTTCTACATTTGAACGCTTTCTAACAAAACTAAAACCCTCAACATTCGAACCCTTTGATGGAATCCCACAAATTCTGTTCAAAAAATGTGCGAAAGAACTTTCAATTCCGCTTTCTCATATTTTTAACATCTGTTTTATCTGTGGACAAGTGCCAGAAATTTGGAGAGAAGCCATTGTCACTCCCGCTCCCAAACATTCACATTCTGTGACCGAATTCAGACCTATGAGCATAAATTTGTATCATGTAAGACACTTGAAAAACTAATACGCGACAAGCTCCTTAACTGGTTTGAAAAATTCAAACTTATGCCACATTAGCAGCATGGATTCAGTAGTGGTGCATCTACGGGTACTCAATTACTTGACTGCACCCACGACTGGATCAATGCTGTCCTCGACGATAAAATCGATGTGATATACTTCGATTTATCAAAAGCTTTCGACCGCATAAGCCAAGAAAAATTGCTGTTCAAACTTGACCATTATGGCATCAGAGGAGATCTATTGAAATGGTTTAAATTCATATATTCAAGATAAAAAATGAGTGTTCGTGTTGGCCTAAAACATTCTGGATGTTCTCCATGCATAAGTGGGCTTCCCCAAGGAGGCGCACTATCACCTTTCTTGTTCGACATCTACACGGCTGATCTACCAAAAATACTTAAAATCCACTCAGATGTGCACATACTGATGTATGCAGACGATATCAAAGTCTTCGGCATCTATAACAAGGAAAACCGAGTCCGGGATGCACTACAACGTGCCATCAACTGAGTAAACGTTCGTTCCGTATAGGTGTTACCACAGATGATGATTTCCATTGCGAACATGCCGGCGAAAACTTGATCAAAAAACACGTTAAAGACTTAGGAGTCATAATCCATCACTCTATGAAACCAGATATACAAGTCTCAGCCGTTGCCTCACGCGCAATCTCTCTCACTTAACTCATTCATCGTAATACGAAAGTTGTTAACACTAAAGTACCCCTAACTTTATAAATCTTTTGTCATTCCCATTTTAGAGTTTGCGAATCAGGTGTGGTTCCCCTTCTTGGTAAAGCATAAACATTCTCTGAAGGATGTTCAGAAATTTTTACACGACTACTTTTTTACCGCTGCCTCCAGTCCTCTTATCCTCAGTCACTGCCAAGCTATGAAGAACGTCTGAAAATACTTGGCCTCAATAGTCTCTCATATCGCAGGATCATTCTGACCTTGTACTTGCTTTCAGAATTTTCAGAGGGGAGACTATATTGAGGCCTTCGAAATTCTGGGTCTTTAAATCCACTTATGGAGGGACGAGTTGCTTTTCCATTTATCATCAGCAGAGCGGCGAAAAAACCAGCTTTATCGAAATACGATTTTTTTGATTAAGTAGCAAAGTTGATTCGAAAATTACCCAGTGAAGTTCTTGCATGTAAAAACAGTACCTAATTCAAAAACAAGTTGAAGACACTGAAACTGAATGAGATATTTACAGATAACTTTAGTACGACTTCTGCTTAGCTTTGATATATTGGCAATAAACGAATAAATCTCTACTGTGATTAGCAGCTTGCTCTGAATGACAACTTTTGGAATTTCGCCTTATCTTGGACGCTACTATCCATCATAAGTCATACTCCTTCATCGCATAATACCTATACCTATATTGTTTTTATTGGCTGGCGTGTGATTAGATTCCTCATTCATGTTCAATTTGATTTTCGTATGCCTATTGTGGTGTTGTGTTCACACT